GTTATCACCTTATCTTGACTTTGACTAATACAATTTTACTCAAATTTCATTTTGCCCAATATTTTTACTTTTTAAACCCAAAAAAAATCTCTGAATCAATTTATTTGTCATATTTTGACTTCACACAGAATTTAAGAAAATTAATAGTCATATATTAATGATACGTTAAATGTAATCAGATGTTTCTTAATTTTATAATTTTAAACATGTCAGTTGAAAATTGAAATAAAAATTACTATGATTGAAAATAAAAGTATAACAAATAAATTAAAGGCATAATACATAAATATTCCTTTTAACTTGGCTTCAAATCACATTTATGCCCTTCAACTTTGAATGTGCACAAGTAGACACTTAAACTTGTATAAAGTTGAACAAATTGACACACATGTCCTACATGACATCCTATATGTCATTTTTTGTCCTACGTGTATTGTGTCATGTAAGACTCGTCTGTTTACTTGTTCTACTTTATACAAGTTTAAGTGTCGACTTGTGCATATCCAAAGTTGGAGGACATAAACGTAAAATGAAATCAAGTTAAAGAGCACATTATGTATTATGCCTAAAATAAAATGGAGGACGCACTATGTGTAACAAAACTAATAAGGAGCCCCAAGTGGACATTGGCTTTCCGGCAAAGCTGTATTATTTCGGCCCCTTTGGTCCCTTTTTTCTTTCTCTTAAACTGTTCAATTTCCATTATTAATTCTCCATGAACATAAATGAAATAAAAAGAATGTGTTTTAAAATAATAATAATAATATATTTATTAGAAAAAGAATATTTTTGACCCAAAAGTAGTATAATAGAGATATTTTTAGATTAACGTATTAATAATAAAGGAATTTTTGAATCAAAATACTAACATGAGATATATTTAGATCAAACACTAGTCAACTTCGCAAAACCATTAGTTCTAAAACTAAATATAAATAAGCATGCACCCCAACCAAACTATTAATTAGTGAAATCAAATTCGGATAAGTTGCTACAAATACAAGAATGTCACACCTACGCTTTGCATATGCATGATGCATCGCAAAACTTTATTTAAGTCAACTTTATTGTTACATGAATTCTTATATCTAAGAGAATTTAATTATTTTTTATATAAATGTGCAATGTTTTTTTTTTACCCTATTGGCACATGTAATAATTGTTTGAGGGAAAATGCATAAGTACCTCAAACCTATGCCCGAAATCTCAGAAACACACATATACTATACTAAGGTCCTATTATCCTTCGAACTTATTTTATAAATAATTTTCTACCCCTTTTCGACCTACGTGACACTATCTTCTGGGCTCAGCGCGTGTTGACAATTTTTTCAAAAATAGTGCCACGTAGGCCAAAAAGGGGTAAAAAATTATATATAAAATAAGTTCAGGGGGTAATAAGACCTTAGTATAATATAAGCGTGTCTCTGAAATTTCGGACATAGATTGAAGGTACTTATGCATTTCCCAATTGTTTGATAAAGAAATTTAAGGACTTTTTATTTTTCTGAAGTCGACTGGCAATCTGAATGGATTTGGTTGGTTTTATTGAAGTCCACTTGGAGATATGGGAGTAAGAACATAAAAAAGCAACAACTACTTTGAAATATTATATTATTGATTTGCCTAATCCAAGATTTGCCTAATATTGTACATAATGAAAAAGCAATTGCAACCCAAACGTATATAAGTCATTATTTGAAAATGCAACTTCTAGGAAAATTCAGCCTATTAGAATATGGACACACGCAATTTTCCACACTTATCTTTCATATACGTACAACCTTTTTTCTTTTAAATTTCGACTTGAGAAGTTGACCTTATAAAATTGCTACCTAATATGAATAAATAAAACAACAATGTAAAAAGCGAAATTGTGTTTTTGGTCCCTTAAATATTGGTAAGCTATGCGTTTAGTCCTTGTAATATCTTATTGAGTATATTTAACCTTCAATTATTTAAAAAATATACTCTCACAAAATTTACGAAATAGTGACCGTCACATCATTTAATCACCTAAATTTTATGTTAGGTTTGTAATGTTATTTCATATTTGAGGATAATGTAATTCCACAAGCGATCTTAAGCATTACATCTTCCATAAATAACAACACATATTTTAATTAATTAAAGATTAAACGTGTAATCACAGAACACAAGGATTAAAATTAAAATATATCAATAATTAAAGAACAAAAAAAATCAATGTTATCCCATGAAAAAAGTCATACTCTCGTGTATTTTGTTTACGGATTGTATATATTTTTAAAAATATACTTCTCCAAATAAAAGTGACATATTACTAAAATAATATTGGCAATCGACTGCAAAAATTAAACCTCCAGAAAGAGGGGGAAAATATCTTATTTTTAGTTACCTTATTCCAGGGAGTTACGTCAAATAAATTTTCAGAGAAATAGGAAATCAACGAAAGAGCACATGTTGAATTATCAAAAAAGGCCAACTTTAATGCCGTCATATGTGTACACTTTGTGAGTTTTAACTTTAAAATTCGTATGCTTTGAATTTAAATATCATCATCACCACCAAAAAGTTATATCTTTAGTCAAATTCAAAGAAAAACCGAAGCTGGTAGAGTATATCGTAAGCGTATATAATGTTAGTCGGACTTCTTTATAATAAACACTCTATAATAAAATTTTATTATAATAATTTTAAGAAATTGAAATTTATTTTTATATTATATATTTTTATAATAATAAAGAAAAATTGAAATAAACAATACTATTATAAAGAAGTTTCATAATAATACTACCTTAAAACCAAACTCATTTTACCGTCAATAAAAATGCGATGTTACGGATATTATTATTACATAATATAAAAAGCCTGAGCGTGAAGCACTTTTTTAAATTTAATAATTAATATATGTAGAGGTAAGATGTCGTGTCTAAGACAAACACTTAAAAGTTGACTATTTAGAAATAGATAATTGTAAGTTATGCAAAAGTATATCCAAAAGATTAAATCTATAGATATTATTGGTATATATGATAATTATATGCGCAAATTACATAAATATCATAATTTTAATATAAAATTACAATTTATCCCTAATAAGTTTTTAATTACATCAATTCATTAAAAATAAAAATAAAAACAGATACAATAATTGAAGCTCGGATACATTAAAAACTAGCTCGAATACATTAAATACTGGCTCGAATACATTAATATATGTAACTCGAATACATTAAATATTGACTCGAATACATTAAAGAAATAAGGAATTTTGGAGATTTTTAAAAGTAATAGGGGATAATGAAAATAAGTGAAACAAAATGTGTGTATTTTTGTAATTTCCGCTATTATGCTTACCTCAAATTATATTAACTTATTATAATTAAGTAAATTTCATGGAAAGTTGTTATGTATATTTTTTTATTCTCTCTGTCTATGACTTATGTCAGTTAGTCTTATTCGAATGAATTGCATTTCATTTTCCTGTTATTGATTTATTAGTCAAATAAGGTAAAAATATATAATATCAATATTTAGAGATGGTTAAGTGAAAGAGCATAAATACAAACACCTATTATAAATTGTTTGGTATAATTAAATTAATATGAGTCTGCAACAAGCCTATAATGATCATGAAAAACTTTAACATGTGAATATTAATTTCTCAGTATCATGTGTTGGATATCAATGCGACCGCCTAATAAAAAAAATTAAAATAACCATACCGTGAACACCACTTACATGGTCCTCAATCCTTAAAAAAAAAACTCAATAACATTGTAATGATTAATAAATTAATAAAATATTTCATCTGTACAATAATACTTGTCCATTAATGATTTTGCACAATTTTTAAGAAATTATAAATAGAAGGTAATTTTAATTCTTTGAATGTAATAAATACAATGTCATGAAAAATATAATAGGGAGATGACTATAACTAATTATAAAGATAAATTAAGAACTAAGTGTAAAATTATCTATTGATTTAATAAAGTGAACAAGTATTGTTGGAAATCATAAAATAGTATAGTGAACAACTATTATTGAACGGAGGGAATAATATTTCATATTCTACAAAACAATCTTTCCAATACTGTTGAATACATCTAATTAATAAATCTTTATATTATCCGTGAAGAAAATTAGTTAAACACGAAATATCCTTGTGTGAACCGTCGTGCAAATTGAGATTGTACGGTTTTCTAGAGAATTAAGTTTCTTTGTCTTGTTTGTCTACTTGTCTAATATGGTGTCCTAGAGGTGATGATGGGGTATATATGCTTGAGGGTGAAAGGATATAGTCATATAGTTAATAAGAAATGATCAATACTTGTGATTATTTTTTTCTATTTTCAGTAAAGAAGTTTTTTAAAAAAATTGACCAATCAAAAAATATTTCCATCCGTGCTATGCACTCCCCCTTATGAGAAAATTGAAAATTTGAACATGATATTTTGTGAGCGTTTTACGTCTTCGATAATATGTCAGATTAATTATCTGATTATAACTTATACATATAAATATGAAATTTAATATTTTCTATATCTTTATGTCTTTTGATCTATTTTAAAATTCCATTTGCCTATAAAAAAAATTCAAAAACTTTCCTTAATTTTAGATGATTAATTAATATTTGCATGTGAGATGTTTACATATATTTCAGTCATTATTACTCAAATTGTGTATGAACACACGAATTTCTTCTTCATTATCAGTGTCAATAATTTGTATATTTAACCTTTTAAAGTCGATCATATCAATATAATTAAGTTAGTTAGTCACATATATTTTTGAAGGCACAACACGATACATTATGTAATACTCCACATAATTGCAGGCCGGAGAATAAAAATTAGTAGTAATGACGCAGGAGTTCGTGGAATTTTCCAAGGAGACTACAACCAATCTGAAAACAACTTTTGAGTCAAAACAATTGTTATTTTGATTATAAGCAAATAGCAATGTGACTGATGGCAACTTGTATAGTATATAGTGTAAAATTCATCGCCTAATTCGTTGATGACAATATTTTTTGGACAAAATTCAAAGTCAAACAAAAACGTCACTTTCAACCTCTTCTACTTGTTAGATCCAAGCTGCGCTTTTATTTTAATTTTAAATTAAATATATACTATAGGACTGAGAATCCATAATAATATACACAGCTAAGAACTTATGTACTTTTTTTTTGTTTATAAAAGACAGATAGCTTCGATATTTTTTCGAAGTCTTCCATATTCATTCCACTGATCTTTAATCTTTTGTCCTCTTCGTCTCCTCAGTTTCTTCCCTTTCAAATTATTTGATCGTTTCATTTCTCTAATTAAACACAAGTCACAACTTGTAGCCATGGGAACTCAAGCTCCATCAAATTACGATGACTCCAAGGTAACTTTCTCTCTCTTTTTTCTGTGTCTCTCTGCAAACATATATGATTTAACGTGTATATGCACTGATAATATCAAGTGTATTGTGATCTATTAGGTTGTTGTTCCCATTTTCTTATGAATAATTGCTTGTAACTATATAGTATCGTTTAATTTATAAAAGTTAAAACTCTATATTATGTGGATACCAAGAATTTCCATAAATGTTGTGTGAGATATGCTAAATACTTGAAATGCTTGGTTGAGTTTTAGATCTTGAAATATAACCTTGTCTCTTGTACCAAAAAAAGAAAAAGAAAACTGTCTCTCTCGATCGTTTCTGTGCTCATTTAATTCTATTTAATTTGGTTCATGAGAAAATTTTGAATTTTGGTAGCTCTTTCTAGTTTGTTTGGTGGTCTAGAATCAATCTTGAACAAGTCAAACAGATATTATCCCTATATTTTTTTTTAAAAAAATAAAATAATTAGGATCATTAAATTCAGTTTAAACGCTGCATGTGTGTACATCACGTTAGGTCAGTAGGGTTTTTTCATAGGACTTTAATGGACTACTTATTTACTGACAACGGTGAATTCACGGCAACTTGTTATACACTAAAGACGTGCGATGAGAAAATCGTCTCAATTTTTCAGTTGACTTTCATACTATACAAATCTGACACTATCAATACTTTATTATTAGTGGGTCACATGGATTATCGATTTAAAATCCAAATCTTTTTTTTTAATTCCACAGTTTTACGCCAAATTTCACGTTGCTTTGAATCTGAAAACCATTTAAATAAAAAAATAAATTATGTAGTTAATTTTTAGGTTACCAAATTAAGACAAAATACATGAAAATTGCTTTGACTTGTAGTGCCAAAATAATTACTGTTAGCGTATATATAGAAGTTGAACCTTTTGAAACAATCAAAATTGGGGTAAAGCTAAGGGGTGTTTTAGACCAAACTAATAAATACAAGACAAGTCATCACTAAGCTATTGTAAGTTGTGCAAACATCCAATGCGAAGTTATCATTAGTTTTTTGAATATTACTACTTAATTAGTTATTATGAAATAATGTACGTAGATTGACACAAGAACAGAAGAAGAGAAGGCAATCGATGCGTGGCTTCCGATTACTTCTTCGAGGAATGCAAAATGGTGGTATTCAGCTTTTCACAATGTTACTGCTATGGTTGGTGCTGGTGTCCTCAGTCTTCCTTATGCCATGTCTGAGCTTGGATGGTACAATACTCATTTTTTTCACTAACATATATAAACTCAATTACTATTACTGAAATTAAAGTGAGTAATTAATTTCAGGGGACCTGGTGTAACTGTGATGATTGTATCTTGGATTATCACTTTATACACACTATGGCAAATGGTTGAAATGCACGAAATGATTCCAGGGAAACGTTTTGATAGATATCATGAGTTGGGGCAACATGCTTTTGGGGAAAAGCTTGGATTATGGATTGTTGTGCCCCAACAACTAATTGTCGAAGTTGGTGTTGACATTGTTTATATGGTCACCGGAGGAAAATCACTTCAGAAGGTGCACCAATTGGTTTGCAAACCACAAGAGGAAGGCTGCGCAAATATCAAACTTTCATACTTCATCATGATATTTGCCTCTGTCCATTTTGTGCTATCTCATCTTCCCAATTTCAATTCCATATCTGGTGTGTCTTTGGCAGCAGCTGTTATGTCCTTAAGGTATATATACACATTTTGCTTATTTCTTTAAATGTTGATAGTGTTACTAACTTTTTGCTGTGATGATGAAGTTACTCTACAATTGCTTGGGGGGCATCAGTTAAGAAGGGTGTACAACCAAATGTGGATTACGGGTACAAGGCACACAGCACTGCAGGAACTGTGTTTGATTTTCTAAGCGGATTGGGAGAAGTGGCTTTTGCATACGCGGGTCATAATGTGGTGTTAGAAATTCAAGCTACAATTCCTTCAACACCTGACAAACCTTCGAAAGTGCCTATGTGGAGGGGAGTTGTTGTTGCTTACATAGTTGTGGCCCTCTGTTACTTCCCTGTTGCTTTTATTGGATACTGGATGTTTGGAAATGCAGTGGACGACAACATTCTCATGTCTTTGAACAAACCTACCTGGCTCATTATCATGGCTAACATGTTTGTCGTTGTCCATGTTATTGGAAGCTATCAGGTATACCATGTTCTCATCTAAATTGCAAAATTTCAATTAATTAGCGCCTAACAAAACATTTATCTTATGATGTTGTAGATCTATGCAATGCCAGTGTTTGACATGATTGAGACCGTGCTTGTTAAGAAACTTAGGTTCAAGCCTACTTGGTATTTGCGATTTGTTACCAGAAACATCTATGTTGGTAAGTCATGACTTGCCATCATTTAAATCGTCGCATACTATAAAACTTTGTACAGTAGAAAACTTGTAACAAATGCCTTTGGTCTTATTGCAGCTTTCACAATGTTTGTTGGAATCACCTTCCCTTTCTTTGGTGGCCTTCTTGGATTCTTTGGAGGATTTGCTTTTGCCCCAACAACATATTTTGTAAGTGAATATATAAAAAAATTTCTCCCTCTAATCTCTTTGTAGTGCATATATAGTACTAACTCTTTTATTTTCTTCAGCTGCCTTGCATCATGTGGCTAGCAATCTACAAGCCAAGGAGATGGAGTCTCTCTTGGATTGCTAATTGGGTAAGTGCATTTTCAATTTTTGTGATTCTGCATTTTATATACACTTTAAAATGGCAGACTCTAATATGTTCTTTTATGACAGGTTTGCATTATTTTTGGAGTTTTGTTGATGATTTTAGCACCAATTGGTGGGTTGAGATCCATCATAGTACAAGCAAAGACCTACAAATTTTACAATTAGAATCATTGATCAAGTGCAAGAATATAGCGATGAGTATGCCATCTGATTAAATTTAGATAGACGTATGTTTGGCAAAGGAAATTTCTACTTCCGTGGTGTGCTTTGGCTATAAAACATTTTAGAGTATAGTTTTTCTTCGTATGTAAAGATTTGGTTAATTTCATGGTGTTGTTCATTGTCAAGACTTGAAACACATCTTTGCGCGTCTTTGTTTCACTTTTCTTCTTTCTAATAAACAAAAACCATATACGACGATGATGTCTTTATTATCATTGATGCATCATCAAAATGTAAAGCATACAATTAAATATCAACAGCACAATAATTACGTCTTAATCTCAAACTAGTTGTTAGAGAAAACAGGGGATTCTTAGGGTACAACTGAACTTGTTAACCAAATCTACATCAAGCTAAACACATCCAATTGGTTCTGTGCCCTTTTATAAGATTTTTTTTTTTTAGTTTTATAATTTTCATAAAAAAATGTTATAGTAAGAAATATAGCTTATCAAACTTTTTAGTACTTGTGTTAATGAACCAAGTCCAGCCCAATATAGATACCAATGCCATACAAATTGTTATTGGGCTGACAAGAGTTATTGAGCCAAGAACAAACAATAGGGTCAGGTTAATTTGAGATTCGGGTTGAGTAGTGGATATGAGAACAGTTCTATCAAAAGGGGTAATGGTAGATTATTGAGAAAAATGTCTAGTCCTCTCATCTCCTTCTTTGAGTCTTAGTTTCTCATCTCCCTTCTAGTTATTTTCTTCAATATTTTCTTTGTTTACTAGTCTATTGTTGTTTTGCAGTTTATTTGTTAGTTCCACTTTTGCATTGTAACTTTAAGTTTAGTGATTATAATATTTGAATGTGTCTATTGTGAAATTGAAGTTGTTACAACTTGCCCCTTTTTTTTATTATTTTTTTAGTGTTGTCCAATATACCCGAAAAAGAAGTTATGTTCTTCAATTTTTTACTAATTCCGACCTACCATAAATATTTTCAAACGCTATAAAATTCTCTCATCCCATGTTTAAGCTGATAGAGATAAATTCAATATTTAAATTTATATACTATCTAGCCCTATAGGAAAGAATTAGAGCTTATATCAGATGAACAACGTATCTAATTTCTAACCTTAGGCTATAAGAATGAACTTGTGGTTAATTGAGTGGGTTTACTGTCTCAAAATATGGGCCGTGTTATTAAACTGGACCAAAAAAATCAAGACTACCACTTGTAGAGCATTTCTCCTCGTGCCTTTTATGGTAAAACTCAAATATGTCTTTTACAGTAAAGTTCAAAATAAATGTGCAATAAATAATATTGTTCAATAATAGTTGTCCACTATTGATTTGACACACCTCTTAAGAAATAATAAATACTAGGGGTAATATTACTATATTATCCTTTGACTTTATTAAATTTAATGTTTTGAGAAATGTGTTAGATGATAAATATTATTTAATTGCAAGGGTAAACAAACACAAAAGGTAAATTATCTCTTGATTTTTTAAATTGGATAAGTATTATTGGACAACTATTTTTAATATAGTGAACAACTATTGTTGGACGGAGAAAGTAAAAAAACAAGAGAAAATGCCTATTACTAACTTGAAAGTTGGATGTAATAAGTATTTTCGGACCACATGTCATCTTCACTAAAATTAGATGATTCACAATACTTGTCATTTTAAAAAATTTAGACATAATTAGTTATTTGTTTTTCATCTTTATCATTAGTCATAAATATAAAGAGATATTATTGTGATACAAAATAAATAAGTATTAAATTTTAAAAAATAATAAATAAGAATAATTTGGTCATATTACTCTATACTTAATATTTTTCTTAAAAGGTGTCCGTAGACGAGGGGGAGTAAAAAAAGTAAAAAGAACAAAGAAAGAAAAAGAGCCACTTAAGGGGAAAAAGGATATAAATATCATTAATATAATAAGATTATGGGAAGGAAAAACGGTACCACAAAAGAAGTAATTGAGAGGGGTTTTAGGAAAAGAGATTAATTAACAGTATTAATGATGGAATTTTTTTTAAATGACTGCAACTTTTAAGGTAAAGTAATTTTTAAAAAGACACAATCTTAGTTAGAGAGATTTTAGTACAGAAAAGAAAGGAATTGGGAAAGGTTTTAGTAAAAAAGATTAACAAATGACACAAGAAATAATTTAAGATACAAAATCTAGAAAAAGAGATTAATAGAAGTCCTGGCTGGTGACAATTCACTTTCCTTATGCCCAACATTATATAGTATGTATTTTATTCGGGGGATAAGAATAAAATAAAATAACATAGTAAGTAGTAGTATTCTAGAAATGGATAAAGTATAATCACATATTATCCAGACATAATATATAAATGTTTTCTTTTAACTTACCTTATTTTATGTTTATGTCCTCCAACTTTGGATGTGTATAAATAGACACTTAAAAATATATAATGTTGAACAAGTAGAGACACGAGTTTTATCTGACATAATTCACGTAGGACACAAATTATCATATAGAATATCATTATATGTCTATTTATTCAACTTTTTATAAATTTAAGTGTCTATTTGTACACAACTAAAATTGAAAAGCATAAATGTGAAATAAATATTACCTATTATGTCATGTTAGTATATGGAGCAATTCTTATTTTCTTAATTTGGAATAACAATTAATCAATTGAATGATATTTACATATTTGGTTGTCTAATAAATAAGTTTCCATTGATATAAAAGATAAGATATCCGTAGAGTAAACATATAAGGTAAAAACTTTATAGTATAATATATTATTTTTATTTAACAGATTTTCCACAGAAGTACATTAAAGCAATATATAAAAGAAAGGTTATTCTTGTATCAATTTGTGATTTCGCCAGAGAAACCAACTTTCATTCTCTCGTCATACAACAATATGGTATTGTAATTTGTTTATTTTTTCGATTTGCAAACGATGTTTAATTACATGTCGAAAGTATGCAATGTTTAGTATCATTGATTTATGAGATGGTCTCACATTTAGTCTTTGATTGTAATTTTCTTCAACGAAAACAATGAGTTTACCTGGTATATATATGATAAGTTTTGTTTGTTGAATTCACTTTCGGAAAATGACAGGGTGATGAAAGAAGTGCAGAACAAAGGAAGATAGATGAATGGCTTCCGGTAACTTCTAGTAGGAATGCAAAATGGTGGTATTCAACATTCCACAATGTTACTGCTATGGTTGGTGCTGGTGTCCTCAGTCTTCCTTATGCTATGTCTCAGCTTGGATGGTACGTACGTCTGTCTTAATTATATATATATGCCAGATTGCCAGTAGAGTTGGTTAATTTGTTTTTTTTTTAAATTTTATTAGGGGACCTGGTGTAACGGTGTTGGTGATATCTTGGATTATAACTTTGTACACTTTATGGCAAATGGTTGAGATGCACGAAATGGTTCCAGGGAAACGTTTCGATAGATATCATGAGTTGGGGCAACATGCTTTTGGGGAAAAGCTTGGACTATGGATTGTTGTGCCCCAACAATTAATTGTCGAAGTTGGTGTTGACATTGTTTATATGGTCACTGGGGGAAGATCACTCATGAAGATCCATGATTTAGTGTGCAAAAACGATTGCTTTAAAATAAAACTTAAATACTTCATCATGATATTTGCCTCTGTCCATTTTTTTCTCGCTCAACTTCCCAACTTAGATTCCATATCTGCTGTCTCTTTGGCTGCTGCTGTCATGTCCTTAAGGTATCCAAAATTACTACTACTATCTATCTATCTATTTTCCTTTCTGCCTGCCCATTAATATATTTAATTCCTGTCTTACTGACTATTGAATTTAGTTACTCTACAATTGGCTGGGCTGCATCGGCTAAGAAGGGCGTGGAGCCGGATGTGGACTATAGCTTCACTGCTAAAACCAATTTGGGAGTAGTTTTCAACTTTTTCAGCGCGTTGGGAGATGTGGCTTTTGCTTATGCAGGTCACAATGTGGTGTTAGAGATTCAAGCTACAATTCCCTCAACGCCGGAGAAGCCTTCCAAAGGACCCATGTGGAAGGGTGTTGTCGTTGCTTACATCATTGTAGCTGTGTGCTATTTCCCTGTTGCTCTTGTTGGCTATTGGGCGTTTGGGAATTCGGTGGAAGACAACATTCTCATCTCGTTGGAGAAACCTACATGGCTCATTGTCATGGCTAACTCATTTGTTGTTATTCATGTTATTGGGAGCTATCAGGTGCTGCTGAGACATTAATTTCGTATCACAATTAGAAATGTTTGTTATGGTTAATTATATGGAGCCTCCTAACGCGAACATCGTTAATGTTATAGATCTATGCAATGCCAGTTTTTGACATGATTGAGACTCTGCTTGTCAAGAAACTCAGGTTCAAGCCTACTTGGTACTTGCGACTTATTACCAGAAGCATCTATGTTGGTAAGAAATTAAAGCTCTATTTCATCTATATCTATTTAGAAAAACACTATTGTTCAAGTAACATTTGTATTATGTTTCAAGCAGCTTTCACAATGTTCGTTGGAATAGCCATACCTTTCTTTGGTGGGCTTTTGGGATTCTTTGGAGGATTTGCTTTTGCCCCAACAACATATTTTGTATGTCATTTTATCCAAATCTTTCTACTACTACTATTACTATTTCATATAACTCTCTGTTTTCTTCTACAGCTTCCTTGCATTATGTGGCTTGCAATCTATAAACCAAAGAGATTCAGTCTCTCATGGATGGTTAACTGGGTAAGACTCATATTAATTAGTCTAATCTTTCACATTCTAAATTTTCTTCTTCTGATTCGTTGTTTTATGATGACAGATTTGCATAATTTTGGGAGTTCTGTTGATGATTTTGGCACCAATTGGCGCCTTAAGATCCATCATCTTAAAAGCAAAGGGCTATAAATTTTTCGATTAGGGAAGATGTAATTTGTTTCTTGGATTGAAGTTTGTTTGCTCATAAATTATTGAATTCCTAGCAACGATGCTTTTATGTGTTTTGGCTTACTAGCCTTTATGTATGTTGAAATTAAGACCTCTCTGTTTTTATTAGTGAATTTGCACTCAAAATTTAATGTGTATAACTCTGTTTTTGGGGACAGATGAATGTTGTTTATCCAATTTTATTAGTGACACTCAGGAGACGTTTTGACATGCTATTTC